TTGTTTTGTTCAGGGTGGGATGTAACTAGAAGCTGAGCTACTCTTCAGTTACGTTTTCCATCTGACACCCCAGGACTGGCTTCAAGACAGAACTTGGCAAAGTTACTTTTCTGGACTACAGCTTCAAGTGGCCATGTTGGCTAGAATTTATTGGAAAGGCAGTCCACAATAGTGATTCTTTCAAAGTTTGTCCAGGGTTAAACGAACCCATCAGAAATTCCCATTTACTGACCCCCTCCTCCTACGTAGTGGGGCCTCCTTACTATCTGTGAGGGGTCCCAGTGAGGGCTTACTTTGGCAGTGCCATTAGCCCCAGGGAGCCATTCCCCCCACTATATGAAATGTGAGATGCTGACACCATATGAGGGTTTCTGATGTTAGAGCAGATATCAAAAGTAGACAGTACTGGGATTCAGAAACACAATTAGCTGCCCAAGAATGCTATATGATGATGCCAGACCTTCATCTTCACCATGAAGCATACAGCCATGATAGGGAACCTTATTATTTCCATCTCAATCGTTACGACAGCTCAATAGAAAGCTATGTGTATATGGTTTGTGACTGCAGCCTTAACTTTCATCTTCACCATGAAGCATACAGCCATGTTAGAGAACCTTATTATTTCCATCTCAATCATTACGAGAGCTCAATAGAAAGCTATATGTGTATGTTTTGTGACTCCAGCCTTAACTTATGTTGTTGTTCAATCGTTTAGTCGTGTCCGACTCTTCGTGACTCCATGGACCAGAGCACACAAGACCCTCCTTTCTTCCACTGCCTCCCAGAATTGGGTCAGATTCATGTTGGTCGCTTCGATGACCCTGTCCAGCCATCTCGTCCTCTGTTGTCCCCTTCTCCTCTTAACTTCACACTTTCCTAACATCAGGGCCTTTTCCAGGGAGTCTTCTCTTCTCATGAGAGGGCCAAAGTATTGGAGCCTCCCCTTCAGGATCTGTCCTTCCAGTGAGCACTCAGGGTTGATTTCCTTTAGAATGGATAGGTTTGAGCTCCTTGCAGTCCAGGGAACTCTCAAGAGCCTCTTCCAGCACCACAATTCAAAAGCATCAATTCTTTGGCGGTCAGCCTTCTTTATTGTCCAGCTCTCACTTCCATACATCACTACAGTACAGGGAAAACCATAGCTTTGACTATGTGGACTTTTGTTGACAAGGTGATGTCTCTGCTTTTTAACAAGCTGTCGAGGTTTGTCATTGCTTGCCTCCCGAGAAACAGGCGTCTTTTAATTTCATGGCTACTGTCACCATGTGCAGTGATCACGGAGCCCAAGAAAGTAAAATCTGTCACTGCCTCCATATCTTCCCCTTCTATTTGCCAGGAGGTGATGGGACCAGTGGCCATGATCTTTGTTTTTTGGTTTTTTAATGTTGAGCTTCAGACCGTTTCTTGCACTCTCCTCTTTCACCCTCATTACAAGGTTCCTTAATTCCTCCTCACTTTCTGTCATCAGACTGGTATCATCTGCATATCGGAGGTTGTTGATATTTCTTCCGGCAATCTGAATTCCAGTTTGGGATTCCTCCAGTCTTTAACTTATACCTTCTTCTAAAACACATGCAAAATTAACTAGAAGAAACCTCAAATCAATGACAGCAGGAAAGCTCGCACTGATAACATTGATGCTCCTCGGGACTAACTAATTAATGCCACAATTTTATCTACTCAGGTAAATGAGCACACGGCTTTCTGTCTTCTATAAAAAGAAAGTAACAGCGGCACCTTGTGGAATACATGCTTAACTGCAGGTATGGCAAAGTAAAACCAAAACAAAACACTAAAAGAAGAGAAAAGAAAACAAGAACAGTCACAGTGTTGGTGGTGAAAATACTTTGGGCCTATTTGGAAGCCAGATTTAATTTGAGTTAGGTCTCAATCAGGCTTAAGCCAAGAACTATAAGTAAAAACAAACAAAAAAACAAAAGAAACACAGAGAGAGAGAGAGAGAGAGAGAGCACTGCAAACAAACAATAAGCAACTTTTAGATGCCGGCCACAGAGACTGGCGAAACGTTAGGAAGAACAACCTTCAGAACACGGCCAAAGAGACCCAAAAACCCACAACAACCAATAAACAACTTGTTTCAGTAAACAGGGGAAGTTGTTTAACGTCACCCATGATCTTTTCTTGCACATCAATGATAACTTCATCACTAAAGGAATCAAATTAAATGTCATCTCCTGCAAACAGTGCTGCACAGTGCACACAACAGCCTTCTGGTGTGTTGATGTTATACATACAGTATTCTCAGATGCCCAGAATTGCCATTCAGGCTTTGAGTTTCAGTCACATTCTAAAGGACTGACCTCCCTGAAGGACTTCTTCAATCAGTTAGCTGTGGGACAGGGCAGTGAGAAGACACGGTTACCTAGATACAGCTTTATTTCTGACCCTTCGTTGTCCCCTTTGCTCTTTAACTTAACATGAAACCCGCCAGCTTATCAGTCTTTCTGGATTCAAATATTCCCTTGCCACTCAAGGCAAAAAGGGAAAGCCATCGCTTATTTTCTGTGACAAGGAAGGAGCAACAAGGATTTTAAAGGGCTGCCTTTCTTTTGTGCCTGAAGGGCATCTTACTTACTCCAAAGCTGCCTTTACACAATACACTTTCTTCAAGAGATTTTAGATAACTGTGGCATTTAGACTCAGCGCTAAAAATTTGATTTTTTAAAAAATGCAACGCTGCCCTCTTCAGGAAAATCATCAAACTCCAACGAGGGCTGACTAAATTGTGCTGTCTTATTTCTTTAATCTGTTACAGTTTTTAACTTCAGTTTTTCGAAATCTAAGCTTCCCCACACATTTTACGTAAATGCCTAAAAACAAAAGAAGCTCGTGATGTTGGTGAATATTGCCACGCTTCAGCATTGAATGGGGACGTGATAATATCATTGTGTTTAACAATATACAGAAAAGCAGTATGCAGTGCAAATGGAACAGCAGACCTGGTATGTGATGAGAATCTCACACAGACTGAACTCCCATCCCTTACATCTGGGTACCTTATTATGGCATCTTAAGTTGCAGTTAGGGTGGCTCCACTTGTATCAATAGAATTTATGGAGGCACTGATTCACCAAATCCCCAACTCTAGTGCAATTTAGTACATTAAAAAACAGGATTTTGGCCACTGGGCTTTTTAGCTGAGAGGGAAAGGCAACTAGTGAAGATCACAGCAGAAGTTACCAGATTATTCGTGATGGATAGGGCTACACAGATGCTTTCCCTCCGTCTCCAGTATAATCAGCTGAATCCCCGGGACCTTCTCATTTGTTGACTCTGACCAGTCCGTATATCTTTATTTTTGGAATCTCTTTATATGTCATTATAACAATTGCATTTCCAAATTTACTGTTAACACCACTGCTCATAATATTTGAATTTTGGATTGCTCAATGAAAATGCTAGACAGGAGATTTTAGGATAAACTAAAGGAAGTTCTTTGTTAGCACACAGGTAGTTTATGGAATTTTTTAACACAAGAAAAGGTGACAGCCACTATGTTCTGGGGCATGAATAATAACAATTCATGAAGGAGAAATCAATCCTGACTTTCAGTCACCACGTCTACATGCAACCCACCATTTGAAAAGAAGTTATAGAATCATAGAATCGTAGAAAAGTGAAGTTGGAAGGGGCCTACAAGGCCATCAAGTCCAACCCCCCACTCAATGCAGAAATACAATCAAAGCATATCTGCCAAGTGATTATTTAAGTTCTTGAACGCATCCAGTGTTGGAACACTCACCAACTCCCAAGGTAACTGGTTTCACCGTCAGACTGCTCTAACAGTAAGTAAGTAAGTAAGTAAGTAAGTAAGTAAGTAAGTAAGTAAGGAAGGAAGGAAGGAAGGAAGGAAGGAAGGAAGGAAGGTCTCTCACAAAATAGTCACTTGCAAAAATTGTTACCTGAGTTAAGAAAGATTACTGAGACATTCATAGCTAATCATTACCATCTACAATTACAATGGTGCCTCGCTTAACGGGCGGCCTGTTTAATGACGAAATCGCATAGCGATGAATGGGCAAAAATCAGGCAAAAATCGCTTTGTGATGATCGGTACCCTGTTTCGCTTACCGATCATGGCAAAGTGATGATTTTTTAACAGCTGATCGGCGGTTCCAAAACGGCCACCAGGTAAAAAAATGGCTGCCCACTGTTTTTTTTGGGACAGATTCCTCGCTTACCGGGCAGCGAAAATGGCTGCCCTATGGAGGATTATTGTTTAAAGGTGAGTCTGAAGCCCATAGGAACGCATTAAAGGGGTTTCAATGCATTCCTATGAGCTTTTATAAATCACACAGCGACGAAATTGCTTTGCAGCGATTTTTGCTGCACTGATTATTGTCGCTATGTGAGGCAGCACTGTACTAATATCTAAAGACATCCAACTGTCTTGTCCCAAAGGACCTGGAGAGAGCCATACCTAAATCAGAGTTAGAAATTTACTCTATACAACACATATTAGAAAGTGGCATTTCACCACAGATCAAGGGTGTGCAATGTATGGCTCTCCAGATGTTGTTGGTCAAAGAATGTTGGGAGGGCCACACATAGCTCAATCCAGCCACTGAGAATAAGCATCTACCCTTTCTCTCTAAGGCTTGTGTTACAGAAAATCATGGATGTGAACCAAAAACATGTATGTTCACCAGTGATCATAATCTGATAATTCTGCCTTGATATAGCAGAACACATTTTTGATGGGCTCACAAAGATTCTCAACCACCTTCAGTTTTACATTGCTTAACCTAGCTGGGAACAGTTATCTAAGGCCTCAGGCAAAGCTCCTAAGATCTTGCCAACTCTGAGATCGGCCACATGTGGCCTGCACCCCAGGATTCTGGGGTCCACCACCAGGAAGCATGATTGATCTTTAAAACAAGGTTCAGCCTCTACTCACTGCACCTTATTTTGTCAGTAGAAGGACAGAAGGGTGGAGGCACATATTCCAATATGTTAAAGTTTGGCAACACACTCACCATGCTGTTCATTTTGGAGGAGGAGGAGCTTGTTCTCTGCTTTCTCAGACTGTTCAGTTCTTCTGGGTTGCTGTCCTTTGGTTTTAAGATCATCCGGCTACTCCCAGCGGTACCTTCTGAAGAAGACCTCAGGCGTTTTTCTATGAATCGCCCTTCTCGATATGGGCTAAAACTGCTGGCCAGATTCACTGTCAGGAGACAGAGACAGAGACAGGCACATATGCCATCAACACCTATGGTATAGTACCATGCATCCATGAACACCTAGCCCCCATACTGGGAAGCAGGGAAAGCTGCAACAGGCTGAATCTTGTTTGGGCTCTTTGCATTGCATTCAGAGAAGAGCACTTGAATTCAAGGATGGAAACAAATGCTATAGATACTATCAATAAAACAGGGAAATCCTTAAACACTGAATATGAGAGTGTCCCAGCAGGAGCTTCTCTCATCTGTAGGAGTTTGCAAATTAGCATCCATTGTTGTGTGCCTGGCCTTAGGACTCAGTCACAGGATTCCCCCAAAGTCTGATTTTAATACCACCAAAGTATGCCTCAATTGTCGTTTCTTCTGCTCCAACATGCTTTCACCTCTGGCAAGTTGTCTGTAACATCTGTTTCTGCTCCAAATTGTTGGAAAATGCTCAGGAGGCATGGGGAGCTACTAATACATGCTGAAGGATTGTATGAGCAGGTCAGTTATTGTAGAAAAGAGGCTTTTTAAAACTGCAAAAGAAATAGTGTGGTTCACAAAAACCATTTCCTCCCATCAATGATGCAGGCAACTTGCTGAAGCTAGTCCAAGGCCGATTATCTGCCTCCATTTTAGACCACTTGTGAATCCTACATATTTGCAGGGGGGAGTACATAAAACAAAAACAAAAAATTGGAAGCATGCATGAGACAGACAGAAAAAGAGAAAGAAGGGGGGGAAGAGAGAGAGAGAGGTGATTGATGGTCTGTCTACCTGTTAAGGGTACTCTGAATTTGGTTGCTATCAAATCACTAAAAACAGGATCATATCATTATCCTGATTTCAGGAAGAAGGAGAGTGAATTATTACGCTGCAGCAGCTGCTTCATAATATTATGCCAAGGATAAATATTTAGATGAAATCAAAGGAAGAAATAACAACTGAGAGAAGTGGATTATGGCACTAGAAGAATGCAGACAGGAAGAAGAAAGGAAAAGGGTGAGAAAATAAAATCCCAGTAGGGAGAACCCTGTAAAATTCAGGGTTCTATTCGTTTTGCATGCTGTTTTCCAAATCATATTGGAATGTGATTATAAAAATATGGAATACAAGTTGTTATACCATGAAATGGAATGTTATTCTAAAAAGTTATGAAAGCACACTGAACAAAACCTTGAAGACAAATTTAAATAAGCAGAGTTCTAAACCTTTTGTTTGCCCTCTCCTTTTTATTTATTTATTTATTTATTTATTTCCCGCCCTTCTAGACAAAAGTCTACTCAGGGCGGCTCACAACATCAAACAAATAAAAACAACAGTTAATTTGTCTTTGCTCCAGGTTTTTGGCCTGAATTTCGAATGGCAGCCCTTAGGTGTAATAATTTGGTTTTGCTTTTTTGTTTTATTTTTCTCTCATTAGACCACAGTATTTCCTATTTGACCAGGCCCAGGGCTAAGATGTGCTGTGAAGCAACCTTCTTGTGCCATGTAAGAAGACTACTCTGCCTTTTATTTTCAGTACTATGACATCTCCTTCTAGAACAGAATTACCCGTGGGTTTGTGTTTTGTGTGTGTGTGTGTGTGTGTGTGTGAACTATTTCCCCAACAACATCAATCCACAGCTGGTAAAGGGCCTACACAACAGGATCATTGGGTCACCCTAATTCAATTCCCCACAGAGCCAGTTGAATGCCCTCTGCACTTACTCAGAAATGGGCACACGCTTGTAAGAAAATGACACTTTTAAAAGACAACAGAAGCTAACCATACATACCCTTCGCGTGGTTCATTTCATATCCCTGTTGCATTTGAAAAGACTGAGGTTCAGAAGACAAAGGGATGATCATAGATTCAGTCGGTGGGATGGTTTCTCTAATATGTTGAGAGGCTCTTATTTCTTCTTGGTCCCTATGTGATCTCTGTGCATTTGGAGAATGTTCAGTTATTTCTCCCTGTTTTAAGACAACGGGTTTTAATTGTGCTTCAGCTCCTGAGTTTACTTCTTGTTGGTGTCTAAACTGTTTAGCAGGGAGTTCTTGTAATAATACTTTTGCACAGTTTCTGTTATGATCAAGGCTTTCAGGTACAGTACTGGCTTCACGGAGCAGCATACGTCTAGCCCTGTGACTTTCGGGTGATGCAACATCATAGTGGGAAGCACTTTCTGCACGATCAGTTTTCCTTGAAATAACAGGAGCAGCAGTAACAGGATTCAGGAAGATTTGCGAGGTAGAACCATTATGGGTGAAGGTTTCTGGGTGCAAATTTCCATAGTTGGGTAGCCCATCCACCTCCGAGACAGAATCTTCCGTCAACGCTAGAAACTCAGAAGGTGTCTGCACTGTCGTCAGGTCGGTGGAAAGCATTGGTGACTGCGAAGAGCTACCTATACATTCTATTACCTCGGCAGAACCTGAAGGAGATGTTGCTGCCAATGCGGCTTCATTGTCAACGTTGGTTTTAACATCCACCGAACAAGAAGGCGGCTGCACACTGCAAATGGACTGGCTTTGAGGGACTGGCTTTGAAAATCTGTAGTGTGTAGAGAACGATTTAGGGAGAAGTTTCCTTGAGGAATGTTTAACCGAAGAGGATCTACTCTGTTCTTCTGTAAATCCAGAATCATCGCTTTCGTTCTTCCCAGACCGTATGCAGTTTATGAAGACATTCTTGTTGGATGAAGCCTCTCTCCCCTTTTCAAAGTCCTCTGTCAAAGACCTCGTTATCTTCTTGTTCCGAGAACCCCCAAAGCCTACCGAATGCCTCCCTCTACTTTTCACATGCTCCTCCAAATTGAGCTTTTGCAAAGTGTTGCTGTGGCTGGACTGAGCACCGTTTAAGATGCCCACATTTTGGCTCTGAGGTTCAACTTTCTGTTCGCTCCCTTTCTTGTGGTGGAAGCTAATGGAAGGTGTGCGGAATAGGCTCCGGCGTTTGCCTGTACTCCCTGAGCTTGAATTCGTGCTGGAGGGGGAAGAGCTGTGAACACCTACGGTACTGTTGGACGTTGGCGATGACGGGAGGGAATCACGTCTTCGGCTAATACTTCTCCGGAATATTGGCAGCCGAGACACAATAATTGAACGTCTTGATCCTGATTCCCCCATCCGGACCTCTTAGACTTGGCCAGGATCAGCCAATAGTTAAAATCTGTACAGGAAGAGAAGAGGAGATGTGTATTAGTAACAGAGTGCCGAATATCTTTTTTTGATCTTTTACACAACTCCACAAAAATAAGATTTAAAAAGGAAATAAATCTATATGTTTTAATGCATCCTGAAACTTACATTTCCCTTTCATAATTCGACCCATTAGATCTTACCAGTTCCTCTTGTTTTACATTTATTTATGGTCAGAAATTTTACCAATGCATTTCATAACATGAAAACAATATGTCTAATGTAAAACCGCTGTAACTGCCTTCAGCTGCAGCGGTGTAATCTTAGTCTGTTCTGCAAACCCACCTTCCAAGAACACATTCAAATAAACATTAGTGCTTTGTGTACTCTAGCCTCAGATTCATCTGCTTCGATAGTGCAAACAAACCAGAGGTTAAAGAGAATGATGGAGCTATTACAGTACTTTAAAATAAATGCTCGTGCAAACAAACCCAGCAATTTTCAAAGAAAAGAAAAGCTTGGGGACCCAACTCTTCTATAAATCTGACAACCCTGGGGGAAAACCAAACTAGCTAAGATATAGTCTACCAAGGAAAAGCCAAGCCACCTATCATGTTTGCTAGCCCCCAAAGCAAAACAATCTCATGGTTTTCATGCCTCTCCTGGATAGTCAAGGAGATAATGGGACAGAAAACTTTACAAAGGAGACAATTCTCCTTTTTATTTACTTTTTTTTTAAGCACAGAGGAGCCCTTTCTGTTTGAAGGGATGTGTAAGGAACGGAATATATCCAAAATCTGTAAAGGCATCTGATTTTAAAATAGCCGCTCAGAGTGGTCGTATAGACCAGATGAGCAGGATTCAAATCAAATGAAATCAAATCAAATCAAATCAATCAATCAATCAATCAATAGGCCTTATAGTTCACCAACAACTTGCACCAACAGCAGACTGAGAGGCCATGCAAGTCACCTGTCTGTATCCTCCCCCGTTATGGTGAGATATATCCTATCTCTCTTTAAACTACAGTTATTATTTCTATATTTGCATTTTCGCCTGTTAAGTTAGCATGTGCAAATGTTATGCAAATGTCTGCCCTGTTTAGGGGCGAGGTCTCTCCTTGCCTTCAGTTTTTAAATTATGAATGTCTCCTGGACTGTTTGGGGTGGTAAGTTACCAGCTGTACAGGCCTCCTCAAAACACATAAATAATATCCGTCCCAAACTGCGGCAGTCAAACAGAAAATTGCCTTGATAATCACACATAAGCTTGGGAGTCTGTTATTTCCTGCTGAAGAAATTAATTTTATGATAGGTCTTTTCAAATTCCAATTTCCCATAATTATTTGTCATTTTTATGGTGGTTCTTTGCGTATAGTGCTTTACAATTCTCATCTTAAATATCCTCATAAAAAAAGTCCTCGGAGAGAGGCTAGGCAGAGAGAGCACAGCTTCCCAAGGATCAACCAGGGAGCTTCATATAGCTAAGTCGGGATTTGAGCGAATGTGGGACACCAATCAACATCCCCGTGCAACTCTTCTATCTCCTGCAACTGTGGCCCCCCCAGGTGTACATTTCCAATTTTTAATAGACAGTTTATCAGCCTTTTTCATAACCCAAATGCTATGTTTATAACATTTTGTTGAAATCACCCTGCATTGCATTGGTTTGAAAAGATGATTTCTGCTGCGTGCAGCAATTGTTCAGGATTTACAACGTAATTTTAAATCTTCAAAAGCACTTCCCTTGTGTCGCCTCTGGAACTCTTACAGCAGTCCTATGCAGTACAGAAACATGTACTGCCAGCAGTCCTATGCAGTACAGAAACAACGGCTGCTGTGCAGAACGGTCCTGCTTAAAGTTCTTGCTCAGCTCCAGGATCCTGCATTCTGTTCTTTTCCTCCTTTTCTCATACCCTCCTCATGACACTCAAGCATTTCATGGTCAATATTCATTGCAACGTACTTCTGGAAGGGTTGACCTTCAAGCATTTACTTCCCTAATGCTTCCTCTTTTTCAGAACATGGGCAACCCTCATTGTTCCTTCAGTCATACATGGCCCATGCTTTTAGTCAAAGGGCCCCTCACCATGCCATTTCCAAGATGAGACTCCCTTCCCGTACGGTTAGACCACAGCCTGACCCTGCCCATACCACCCTGCTACCTTCCCATTCTTCCTCAATGGTCTCATTTTAGCTACCAATCAACATTTCCTCTAGTTTTTCCACCAGTACTGGGTGCCCCCCCCAGACACATGAGGGGTTCCAGCCACAACCAGAATCAGATGGGCGGTGGTTGCAAGGCACTGATGCAGCTGCATGGTCATGCACCCGTGCAGCTTAGAGGAAACTTTCCAACCAACCATTGCTACTGCTCACCTGAATACTGTATACTACTAGTAACTGCACTTGTAGCAGGGAAGAATGTCCCATTCCTCCAGTTCTATTTTAAACAATCACTGTCAAACTCAAACATTTGATGAGATCATTCTTGCACATAAAGATGAGGAACTGAGACGTTCTCTTCCTCAGCAATGAAAATAGTTCTATTTTAAACAATCACTGTCAAACCCAAACATTTGATGACGAGATCATTCTTGCACATAAATTGTTGTTGTTGTTGTTGTTGTTGTTGTTGTTGTTGTTGTTGTTGTTGTTGTTGTTGTTGTTGTTGTTGTTATATTTATACCCCACCTATGAAAATAGCAAAACAAACAAACAAACAAAATCCAGAAACTCTCCTAAGAATATACACACTGGCAAAGACAAAGATTTGTGCAAAAAGTTTTATTTTGCACAAAACTGGCCATTTCCCTACATCATTCAGTTGATCCAACAGAATAAATATGCTCCCCCCTGCAAAAAACAACAACAAACAACAACCTAGGGTGATTTCTTTACCAAAGATTTACTAAAGCATGTCCTCCTTTGCTTGTGCATGTGTGTATTTTGCTTCTCAAAAAAAAAAGCATACTAGAAACATTCTAGACAAGTTACAGAAATACTGCAGGAGAGGAAAAATCTCTCTGTCATGCTCTAGGTTGGAGGTTCTTTGGGGGCTTTAAAATTCCTTCTCAAGGTCCAACCTGTTCATGCAGCCTCAATCAATGAGATTAAGGAATCTAAAGAGCAATTTTTTTTTCTACACCCCATTTCATTTATTCTCTTTATAATGGTTTTAAAAGCCAAGACACAGTGTATCCTTTTTGGTTAACATTCTATGATGAAAACATCATTGTTTAAGAACCACATGGCTATCATGTTTGGTAATACTGTACTCATTATCTGCAAGGCAGGAAATGATAGACCGTGCATTACATAGTGGCTTAGTGTTCATGCATTTCTACATGTGCACACAAGATGAATTTGCCACCTTCCCATTCACGAGAGAACCTGGAGATACTCCAGGTATTACCACTGGTGAAGGCCAGTTTTGCAGAAGGGCATGTGTGAAACAGAAGTCATTCCTCTGGGACTGCCTCTGATAAATAAGGAGAGATGGAGCCTATACAGGCTTTTCACCTTGCAACCCAGTGAGCAGAAGGGAAGAGAAGGAACAGGAGGAAAAGAAGGAAGAGCCATGGTAAATATGAGTCCCCTTCTGTCCCACTGAGATCCGTTTTCCAAGCAATGGGTGCATACTTCACCACCTGAGAGACAGGTAGTGTATAAACAAAGGAAGAGATGAAGATGGTGCAGATAAGCATAGATAAGAGGGGAAGAGCAGGGGAATAAATCAAGTAACTAAGACAGAAGGTGTGTGAGATGTGTAATGGGAGAGAAGATGTAAAAAAGAGATTAATGTGAATTATGCAAAGTGTATCGTATTATGGAAGAGAGGAGAGCCTACCCTAGGCTAATATTAAAAGTGAATGGAGAGCTTTGTGCACTAGAACTGAATATCCTAAACATTGGGGGGGGGGCTTCTATTACCATCAGTAGAAGCTGAGTCAAAGAATGTGTTCTAGAACAGTGGTCCCCAACCTTGGGCCTCCAGATGTTCTTGGACTTCAACTCCCAGAAATCCTAGCCAGCAGAGGTGGTGATGAAGGCTTCTGGGAGTTATAGTCCAAGAACATCTGGAGGCCCAAGGTTGGGGACCACTGTTCTAGACCCTTGAGCGGTGGCTTAAGCTTCAACAGGCTCCACGAGCACTGTCAGCTGACTGGGAGTCACTGTTTTGATTTCCTACAGTAACCAATCCATACTATACTGTACCCAGTGCATTACAGGGCATTTTAAATAACAGCTCATTGTCATCTAATACCACAACAGTATATCACAGAGCTGGAGGAGAAGGAGAGCCACTGCCTGGCCATCAGTGCCACCAGATGGCTCAACAGCCATGGGAGTGCCTCTTAAGAGCAATGCCATCTCTACTTCTACCCCCAGCAACAGCAACAGAAGTGGCCGTGCCATGAGCAGGAGACACTGCCCATCCAGCGCGTGCAGAGGTAAAGCAGCCTGTCTCCTGCCCGCGTGTGTATATGCTGCTTAAGTGATACTGTATATCACTTACAAATTATTTAAAAGGAAAAAGGAAATTTGGGAGCAGTGGGGACTCAGGAACCGAACAGAAAATGAATTGATTTAAAAAATGACATGGGATGTTTAGCCTACAGAAACAGTGCAAACATCATGAAAATACTGGTTCGAACAACACCAACGTGAACGGACCCACTGATATATATACGTGATTATTACATGAAAATATATCAATGTAAAAAAAAGGGAGGAAAAAGAAAGGATTCAAATGGTCCATGTGCTCGAGCCCTAAGACATGGCCGGGATGTGATTTTAACCAGGGACACCACTGTCTCATATTCTTAGCCACTACACACTTCAACAGTTCATCTTCTAAGCTCCCAAGTCTAAAACGCATTGAAGAATACTGCTTTTCAGCAAAATTTTGCAGAAATCTGATACTCAAATGCTGACTCTGCAGGTTTTAATTCCACTTATTCAAGACACAATGGGTTCCCTCTGGCACTTTTTTTCCCTAGACATAATTATTTTTATGCATGCAGAACCA